ATTTACATTATTAGTTCGAGAGAGAGAGAGAGAGAGAGAGAGAGAGAACGGAACGGGTTATAAATTTTATAATTTTAAATACACATTTTTAACAAATATTTTCATTGTGGTGATATTAATTTTTATGGCAAATGAGCGTGACCATTTGGAAATGAATGATGGCTTCTGTGTTATTATTTTCATTGGCCACAAATTGCTTCCACGCGTTAGGGTTGGGCCGATCGGTAGTCGGGTTGGTGTAAATATCAAACACGGCGTCAGACAAATCGGGACATTCACTCGCGTAGTGATCGATGGACTCGAAGTACGACCGATAGTTGCAGACCAGCACCGGTAGAAAAACTAATATAGCACAATATAATAATTATTATTTACCCATAACATAATAACAATATCGTTAATGTAAATAGTTTTAAATGAGCCGGGTTACACTCTCCCCCATTAATTTCTACTTTAATTTTGTGTTGTAACTAAAAATGTTATTTTAGATTTGATGCGAGTTAACATTGCAAATTAAATTGATGAAAATACCTTGCTCCCACCCACTCCCTATTATTATAGTAATTAACTGACCAATCATGAGCTCGCGTTTGATGAACCACTTGTCGTTATAGACATCAAACGTGTCCACCGCTAAGCCGTTGTCGGCCAACGCCCGGCGCCAGACCTGTATTTGCCGGTCGACGGACAGAAAGTTATTAAACCTTTCATTGGGCGGCAATTTTTTGTTCACATCTCCCAGTAGTATGAAATTGGCGTAAATTGAGCCCCCGGTGGTCAACAGGCGCCGGCATATCGACAGCGTGCGGCTCTTGTCGTAAAAGTACATAAAGCATAGGTTGGAAAATATGAGGTCAACTGTGCCCTCCAGGCGCCGGATATCGGCGCTCAACTCTGGCCACAAAACGGACATGTCTTGTGTGATGTACTTTATGGTAGGCATACTATTGACCTGTCGGGCGTAGTCTGTCATTGCCGGCACCGAATCGATGCCAATTAGCCGCCTGTGCGGCACACGACTGGCCAATAGTTTGGTGATCCCTCCATCGCCCGAACCAATGTCTATAATAGTGTTATACACTCTGCGTTAAAACAAAATAATTTATATAAGATTAATTTAATTAGCAAACATTTTTTATATTTAATAATCTGTTACGAATGTCGTAAATTGTTATCATGAATAATCGTATAGGTATAACAAAAATGTTTGGCTTTAAGTAATAATATTAGTAATATTTGTAGTAATATTTTACAAATTATACGACCAGGTAAAACGGGGACAAGTACCTAGGTACTCTGTGAACTCCTGGATTGTAACAAATCATTTAATCAAAAACATAATAATTAATATTTTTATATAAAATATTCTCTATTTTAACTTTTCCCACTCTTACACACACACATTGATTACCAAATAAATTATCTAAAATAAATGTATGCATATTCAGTTAATAACCCAATTGTACAGTACTTGCCTATTATTAGCCAATAGTATGTCAAATGTTTTAGTGGCGATTCGGCGTTGATTTACATTTGTGGAACCGTAAGCTTTCGGAGTAATCACATCCATAATCACAGATTCCCTGTTAATATTTTAATTTATTATAATCAATTATTCATATAACATTTATTATACAGTACATACTGTATGTAACATGTGCAATGAGTTAATATAATTTACTTAAAGTTAAGTTAATATGATGAGTTTATTGTAAAATTTTGTGACGTTGCAACATAAAAATTAATGTAAACACTAAATTTAACTAATCAATAATGTCTAGCTTCACTTAATCTCAATGCAGTATCATACATTATAAAATAATAGTTGTATTATTTGCATTATCATTAGGGGTAGGACTTACATTTTTTATATACATTGCAACATAACGTCATACATGGGATTTTACCTTAAAAGCATTACTAACGGACACAAACCTATTAACAATTTTGATGCATATACAAAATTACTAAAGCATATCATATCATTCAAATGAATGTTTTACCGGTTTGTTATATATGTTTGGGACTTTGGGGGCAAACGAATGACATAATAAGGGGTGTTTTGGCGAACTTTTATTTTGCATATAAATGCATATTTATCTCATAAATGCATATAACTACATATTTGGTCTAAATACATTAAAAAAAAGCATGGATTTGCACTAAAATCATAAATAAAAATTAACAAACCCTTGGAAAATGTACAATCAATTGAAATCAATTTTAGCTTACAGACAAATATTAATTTTTAAAACAAATATCTATTTAATTTTCATTAGGTATTAGTGATAAAGTATTACCTAGTGTACTTGCAGCAAATGTTATAGCGTTTTAAAATAAATAATATATTTTAAATTTATATTTTGACACCTAATTACAAATATTTAGATAATTTTGAAAGCTAAACAACGATTTTCGTCATAACATTTTGCTATATTGTTTATAAAATATATTCAATAATATTTATATCACATATTTCAAAATTTATAAGTGCATATTTGGGTGCATATTTAACCATTTTTAAATGCATATTATATGACATATTTGAGTGCTTATAAATGCATATTTTGATATGCTTTAAAAATTACACTATAATATATACTTTTTTCCACTAAAGTCACATCCATAGTTATCATACATATTTAAGGTTTATATATTCCATATTTCCACATAAGATATACTGTATATCTTAAAAATTAGTAGACTATCAAACTTTTTAATTGATATGTTATAAACAGTATAATAAATAATTTGATTAATAAAATATTTGATTAATTTTATCAATGAAATCAAAGAATTACAAAACACACAAATAAAATTATAATATAATTACTAAAGCATTGCTTCTCTGTAATAATAATATAAAAATATGTAATATAATATGTGGTAATAACTTAAACAACACACACACACACACACACACACAGTGATGCTATACGTTAACAACAATTTCCATAGACTTAAACTGTAATACCATGAAAGGGTAAGGGGGAGAAAGACCCATTCATTTTAAAAACACATTCATTGTTTGTGGATTTAATTAAAGATATGTGGTAATAATAAACAAGTATCACACAGCGATGCTATACGTTAACTACGATTCGGGTGATGCCCAAATAATAGATAATCATTATCTATATATTTAATCAAAGTCCATAGGATTACCACTCAACATAGGCTTAGCATTGTCCATAGACTCAACATTAGTTTATAGGATTAGCATTACTCGCATTGAGTTTGCATTGCCCATGTTAGTCCTATGTTATAGACTTAACATTACCCATAGAGGGGGCAGAACAATCCTATAAACCACATTCTTCATATATAAATCGTGGCTAAAAATATGTAAATATGTAACAAATATGTTTTAATATATTTGTTATCATATAGATCGTTGAGCCAGAATTTGATATCTTATACCGTTAAAGATATGTAAAACATGTAAAGACAACTCTTCGATAATTACATATAAATGACTGACTTTATTACTTAATATAAAATTTATATAACTTAAGATATTATAATCTTATTATCTTAATGAAGAGTTTATTTAAATTAAAATTTTTAAATTTAATTATGCTATTAATTTGATAATATCAGTGTATTAATTCCAGTAACATTTAACAAGTTTTATAAAAAAAATTAATTCACAATAATTAAGTTTATTTATAATAAGTATATTAATAATGCAAATGATATACGCATTGGCGGCAATTGTCGGCCCCATTGTATTATTAGCGGTCTATTTATGTTATAAATATACATTTTGGTTGCGACAGGGCATACAAACCGACTGGTTTTTAAGACGTGGTGTAGTATTTCACCTAGCAGACATGCGATGTCACCAAAACTATGGCAAAGTTGTCGGGTATTTCCCTAGACAAATATATTATTTAATATGGTGCAATTATGCGCAAATTAACTGATACTTTATTACTGGCACCTAGATTCTACGAGGGCCTGAAACCTGCCCTATCAATCACCGATCCGGAGCTCATACGCCAAATACTGATCACCAAGTTTCATGATTACCCCACACGACGAGTAAATAATATGTTAATAGTTTATAAATTATAAAAAATAATATAATTTAATTTAATCAAACTTTATACTTTAACTTGTAAATGATATAATGGCACTGTTAATCATGTTTAACGTTAAACATCTTGATAACAAACTAGTCTAATGTACACAATATTGTTTATAACCACACCTTTAATACCAGGTATGGGCGGCCGATTCCGAGCCCCTGTCAAACGGCCTGTTTTTCTTGCCGTACGAGCGCTGGAAACCGGTCCGTCGGCTACACTCGCCGGCGTTCACCATCGGTCACATGCGGGCCCAGACCCAGAAAATTGGCGACACCTGCGCCCGTCTGTGTTGCCGGTTAGACCGGGCGGCCGACAGCGCCCGGGCCGTCGACTTTCGGCACGCGTACGACGCCTACACCTTCGACGTGATCACCAAAACACTCGCCGATTACGACACAAACGCCGTCGACAGGCCGGACACCAACCGCCTGTTTCACTCGCTACTGGGTATCTTTCAAAATGACCAAGGTTGGCGCGAAAAGCTGGTGTATTACGTGCCCGGGGTGCGCCTGGTTGTTGATCTGGCCTTTTTTGTACGCCAGGCGCAGAGTTTAATCGCCGACGCGTTGGGTGCGCTCATTGGCGATAGAGTGAGCGCCAATCGCCGGGTGCCCGACCTGTTGCAGAATCTGGTCGACGCCAGCGTTTGGGCCGATGGCTACCCAACCGGCGATAAGTTTGGCCAGTATTTTGTCGACAATAATAACAATGATAAAAATAATAATCAAGCGACTAAAAGTGTGTATTAAAAACTTGTGCATAAATATTATCTCGCTCGTTTCTAATAGTTTTACATATTTATTTTTCGCGTTATTTGCACAGAATTAACCGAGGTGGAAGTGTTTGGCCAGTGTATGAATATGCTGGCCGCTGGCCAGGAGACGGCCGCCTCCCAGTTGTGTCTATTAACTCGCGTACTGGCACTCGAGCCCCGGTACCAAACGGCGCTCGTCCGGGAGATACGACAGACACTGTACACTACGGACAATCGGCTCGACATTGATTACGATAAATTGCTCACAATGCCCATGCTCGACTCGTTCCTGAAAGAGGGTATGCGATTGTACTCGGCGGCATCTAGGTAGTTTTAATATTTTTACTCTATCAGAATATTTTCTGTTTATAATACAATATAATAATAACAGAATCGAGAGAAAAACTACCAGGGACATGGTATTCAATGGTCTACATTTGCCTAAAGGCACCCACCTTATAATGCCCATATGGGCGCTCCACACCGACCCGGACAACTTTGCCAACCCCCTGGAGTTTAAGCTAGGACGTTTTTTGCCAAAAAACTCAGTTAAGATTAAGCCCTATACTTACCTGCCGTTCGGCACCGGCCCTCGCAATTGCATTGGTATGCGATTGGCTGTATTGGAGATCAAGTATACGTTGGTACAGCTGCTGGACAAATACGAGTTTGTGCCATGCGATTCAACCAAGGTTACTTTCTTAATTATTAATTTTATAATTGTTATGTTATTTAAATATATTGTTCTGGTTTTGTTTCAGGAGATGGAATATTTTAATCCGCTTATTAATTTAGCTATTGTAAAACATATGATGGTCAAAATAAAGCACCGTAGTCAAACTTGTTAATGCGCGCACAACTAAATGAACTAATTTGAAAATAAAATGCATAATAGAAATTTTTATTTTTAAACTTACTTAAATGAATTTGCATTTAATAAAAATATTATTGTAACAATTTTAAATATGGAATTAATAGATGTTTATTATAATCAATAATCATTACGATAATTATAACAACATTTATCAATCAAACGTATTCATGACATGGTCATTTTGATTCTTTTTGATGCGTTGTTGAACTTTAATTAATTAATTAATTTAATCATTTTATTTATAAATAATATGATGCAAATCAACTTATACAAGAAGTCATTTATTTATATAATAATTATTTGATGAATATTTTGCTTAAAAGACCTAAAAATAAATAATGATTTGTAATTTTACACAACAATTTTAATGTTGGTAAAAACAAACAAATAGTAATCAATGTAAAATTCAATTAAATACAATACATAATTTATAAATCAATGTTTACAAGTCATACAAAATATATAAACAACGTGGTAATTTATAGCATGATGTATTCATTACTTATACAATACATAAGTAATAGTAATAATTATTACAATTAATTAATTGACTTAATAATTACAAATCAAAAACAGATACATATATTTAAAAGAGTGTATTTATAACTTATATTAATTATTAAATTAATGTTTAATGAAGTTTTAATTTAAAATAAATGAATTATTAGTAATTAAAAATAATTATATTCATATGATCAATGACAATTTTCATATCAATATTACAATTATTGTATCATGATAACAACAATTTAATTGGCCTTATCTAACTATACCGTACGCTTGCATTGGCTGTCATTGTAATTAGTGTACAAAATGTATATAATATATAAATATATTATATTTAATTGTGCTTATTTGTTTTGGTAGCTCATGAATATATCACACACACACA